TTAATTTTTAACCAAGCTATTACTCACATTTTTTATGGTTATACACTGCTGTATAATTCCAAGAAAGATAGAAGAAAAAAAAACAAAAAGAAACATGCACTGGTTGATGAATATGAAGATACTGAATATGAGAAGACACAACTAGAAAGAAGTGGGGTCCTACAACAAGTAGTCTCGCAACTTGAGAATGATATTGTGCAGTCAACTAGAAATGCAAACAATAACCAGCCTACACAAGAAAAAATAAAAAAAACGTGGTCCAACAACTATGAATAAAGTTTCTAGAGGGTTTGTCGAAAAGATGCAAGTGAGTTTTAATTCAAACGTATAGTCATTAGGTACAATTCAGAGAAGTTTGTATCATATCTTGGTGCATGAGTACGTCAACATATCCCTATCGTCATAGACTTGAAGAATCTTGAGGAGGAGAATTGGAAAAGTTTGAAGGATGATATTATGTCTTTGGTTCAGGTAATCATAACTAAGACATTTTCAGTATATTGAGCATTATTTAGTTAGATTTTACAATAACAAATGTTGTTGTATGCAATAATCATTTGTTGTCAATGATATACAAAAATGCTTTATTTTTAGAATGATGGGTAGATATTGGAAGCAATATAAGTCCAAAATTACAACAAAACTAATTGAATCCAATGAGTTGTCAAATAGGACACGTGCATTCCAACTAGTCCTTAAGCCTTTAGATGTGAAATCAAGACTTACTGCATCATTTCGAGTAAGTTTCTTTTTTATTTTTCGTTAGATATGTTGTATATATAAATTCTAATTATTCGTTTGAACATTTTTTTCGCATCCATATCTTGTACTCCTACATTTCTTCCTCTTTATAGTTGTTGCACAAGTAGAGGTAGAGGCTTGTGCTGACTTTAGTACAACAGTACATGTCGACTCTTGCGTTGTAGGCCTTTCTTGACCTTCTCTAGTTTGTTTTTTTTTTTGCTCTTTTTGGCTCATTGCCTTCCTCAGTTGGCCTTATTGTCCTTTTAGCACTTCTTTCCTCAGCTGGCCTACTCAGAGTTGCCTACAATTCAACACCAAACACATGTGAGTAACTGAATAATAGAAATCATTGAATTAAAATAAGAAAAATTTATAAAAGTAACCTTTTATTTTCCTTTGAGGTGGATGAGGATTTATAGGTGGTCGTTTGCACCTTTTTACGTTATGTGTGTTATCTCCACAGTTAGAACAAGTTTGAATAATGCCTTTTCTTGTGACCCTTCCACCAACACTTATCTCATCCACTCCTTTCTTCCTCACTTTCTTTGGCCTGCCAGGCTGCTTCTTAAATGGTGGAGGTAGGATTACTTGAGAGTTTGCTGACTGCCATTGAGAGTGATCTGGAATAGGATTAATTGCAATATTATATGCCCTTTTATACATACTAACCGAGTAGTAATGACTTGTAAAATTCTCTCCCTCTTTGTGTTCCTGCAGTATTGCACATGTGGCATGAACACATGGAATTCCAGTCAAATTCCATTCCCTACAGCTGCAACTATGATTTCTCAGGTCCACAACCCAAATTTTTGATCCCATAGTCACTACCCATAGCCCATTTGCAGCAAGATAGCATCAAAATTCGAGTGCCTTATCCTTAATGTCATTCAGTTTGTCGACTACTTTACCATGGTATTTCTCAATCCACTGTCTCTTGGTATGGATTATGCACATGATTGTCTTTCTCAAGGCCTCCAACATTGTCAGAATGGGCATATCTCTAGCCTCTTTGATGTAATTGTTGAATGATTCACACAAATTATTGCTTAACATATCACACTTGGGCCTCGTTGTCATCATAAACTTGCCCATTGTTGTGGAGGTATATTCTTCAACCAATCAAATGCTTCAATGGATATTTGTTTGATCTCATTCATTTTTTGGTTATGTGTTTCCTCCAAGTAGGCCGTAGCTGCACCCCACATCAAATCTTTCAATTCTTTATCTTTGAACCTCAGCTTAAAATTGGCATACAAATGCCTCACACAAAACCTGTGTTCAGTGGATGGCATAAGTGTGTTGAAACTCTCAACTAGTCCCTTTTGCCTATCAGAAATAAACGTGCACTGAGTTACATCACTCTGCCCAAATGCTGTAACCAAGAGCTCTAGAAACCAACTCCAATTGTCCCTACACTCAGACTCCACAACTGCGATAGCCAAAGGAAACATCTGGTTGTTTCCATCTCTGCCAATTGCAGCCATTAACTGCCCCCCAAATGGTCCCTTAAGAAAACATGCATCCAAACCTATGATAAGTCTTCATCCCTCTATAAAACCCTTCTTTTGTGCATCAAATAGAACAAACAACCTTTGGAATCTAGGAATTTTGTACAGTGGAAGTCCTTGAACCTTCAGAATGGCAGTTGAACCAGGGTTGGTTCTTAAAATCTCATGACAATATTGTCTAATTTTGGAATACTGCTCATGGACATTACCTTGGATTATTTCAATAGCCTTTTTCTTTGCCCTGTATAACTTTTGCTTGTGTGCATAAACCTTGACTTCCTTTTTTACCAATTTCTTGAAGGACTTGATGGGCATAGTGGGAGTTTCCATAAAAGATTCCATGTATTGTTCTGCCAAGTATGTAGAATTAAAACTTTTATTGGTGAAGACTCTTGGACATCTGTGTGGCTCACCTTTTAGACTCTTGATCTGATATGCTGTAGTTTTTCCCATTAAGCTTTCATGAATTCTCCAGCCACATTTTTTTTTACAGATTGCAGTCACTCTTCTACTTTCATTCTTTTCAAAACTCAGCTCAAAACCCCTCTTAACTGAATGATGTCTCAAAGCCTTCCTAAAAACAGTTGCATTAGCAAACACCAGGCCTACCTTCAGAATTGGGTTTTTTAACTCATGTTCTTCATCAAACTCTAGAAACTTGATGCTCATGGACTCTCCATCAGATTCAGGCTCTGAGAGGACCTCTGGATCACTTTGAATTTCATTTTCTTGAGCATCGAATGCTTGATCAAAATCTGACACTTCAGTTCTTTGATTGACTACATCATAGGCATTCTCTAAAGGCTGAAAACTATCACTCAAAGTATCACCTTGAGCAAAATATTCAAAATCAGACATCACATCAGATTCTGACTCACTCTCCACATAACTTGGATCATCACTATCACTATTATCATCTTCATGTTCATTGTGGTCTCCATCGTTGTCAATCTCCACAATATTATTTGTATTGGCTACATTATCTGCTTCATGAGGTGACACCAATGGAACTTCAATATCCATATCATTCCCATCAACAAACAAATCGATCTGGAATATATTTGTAGACTCATATACCTTAAACATATCCATCACACCTATATCACTATCAAGTATGCTTAATTCAGGAGCATTAGGCAACTTATAGAACACAATAGCATTAGTTGAGCACCCAGCTGCTTTAACTGAATCCATAACTTCAAAATAAGATATTAAATCAGGGTCAACGTCGGGCAGAATTGAAGTCATCCCTCCAATGTAGTCAAAACCATTACCTGTGAATCTCCCTCCCCGGTGGATCTTAAGAGTAAACAACTGATCATTCATTTTTTTCTGTATTAAACAAATTTTTTTTTAATAAAATCGCATAAAAAGAAAAAAAGAAAATCCCTAATTTCGAACTACATCGGTCCTAATTTGAAAGAATAGTAAAAATCGAGAAAAACCCTAATTTCAGCGAACAGTAAAAATCGACAACAATTAAAAAAAATCACCTAAATTTTACTCAAAAACATAACCTAAACCTTCAAAACTCAACGGATTCAAGAACCCCAAATAAACATTCACTAAAATTCAAGAACCCCAAAAAAACGTTAAGGGCTTAGTTGAGAAAAAACCCTAAAATTGAATATCTTACCTTGTTCTACAGTAAGCGTCCTTCGAGTGGACTCATATAGTAGTTCTTCAAACCAATTTCGCGAAAACTCAGAGATAGAGGGAGATTTTTGTGAGGGTTTTTTCCTTAGAAACAAGAGGCAGAGAGTGAGTGTGTGTTGTGAGAGAATTGAAAGGAGTTGGAGAAATTTCGACATTCATCAGACGTAATAACGAGGGTAGAAGAGTAATTGTATAGTAAAAGTTGACACTGTCAAATGTTTGACCATTGACTGTTAAAAGTAGGGGGGGTATTTGTAGATTTTGATAGTACAGGGGGTGAATGCGACCTTTTCGATAGTACAGGGGTGCAAACTGTAATTTACCCTTAAAAAAATAAGATATATAATCATATTATTTAAAGGTGTATTTTCGGTAAAAATCGGCATTTTTTAAATTAATTTCGAAAATTAAATCAAATCGAAATTGAAAATTACACATTTTTTTATATAGTTCCAACTTCAATTAAAAAAGAATTGGAAAATAAAAAATAGAACTTCGAAAATCGAAATGAAAGAAATTGTTCCAAAATCTTTATTTATTTATTTATTTATTTATTCTTTTTTTATTGTTTTTCTGATCAGGAGGAAATTGAAAATTTTAGCCGAAACCTGGGACTTGGGTAAGGTTCGAATAACCCGACCCATGAACCTGATTGAAGAACATGCCCCGGATCCGAAACCCGACAATTGAAATGTCTAAACTGGTGAACCTACCAGAACCGATCACTCATCGGTACAATAGTATCACCTGAGATGAGGAGGTCTGGAGTTTTAAAATTAGGCGCCAAAACCTCAGTGTATCTTCTCACCGCCACCGGCGGCGCAGCCCTCGCGTACGATTCTTTCAACTCCACTACCGATTTCCCCTCCACCTTCTTAAACGGCGTCGTCCGCTCCTCTCGCGCCATCTTCTCTGTAAGTATCCTGTTTAATATTTCCCATTTATGTTAATAAACATTTTTGTTTTTTTAACTGGGTATGTTTTCAATTTTGGAGATTACTTCTTGCGTGGTCGATTACAAGTATTCGCTGCACGGTTTATCCCCAAGTTCCGACGACTATGGAGGCGCACTATCCGAGGTTTGGCAGTTAGGGTTTTGTGTTCATCTTCCTTTTTTTTATTCTAATTTTGTATGATATATTTGTCATTATAGTCTGTTTGATTAGTGCGTAAGTTTTGTGAATAATCAAGCTCGAACAAATGCTTGAGTTTTAATGCCTTACGCCAGAGAGAGAGGGGGAGAGAGAAAGAGAGAGAGAGAGAGGAATGTATCATGTATGATCTGATTTTATATAATAGGATTTGTAATTAAAGTTGTGTGCACCTTAAAGGCTTAAACATCACTGTTTGCGTATAAAATAATTTTAGTTTTTTTTTTTTTTTTCTTTCTGGTGAATGACAATCTGTAAACGTAGGTACTGCTCGCAGGAATAATATTTCATAGCATCCGTTTTCCGTAAAACGTTTGAATGTCATATCTTCACTAGTTATCCATCCTCCATGTATTGTTATTGATTAGATGACTGGAATGCCGACTGATCAAACTGTCTAACTAGTTGAAACACTCAACTGTATTGCATTTTGTTGTGGACTCCCTGAATTTCCTCAAGGGAATGTATTTATTACCAGATAGCTGGTAAAATTGATAATTTCGATCGTATAGGTACAATTTGTATATGCATTGGTTATTCGCCTATCAAAAAAAAAAAAAAACAAAAAATAGTTTACCAAGCACTGAAAAAAAATGGCCTATAAGAAAATTATTTTGGCAATATTTAGATCCTTTGATAGATTTAATTTCTCACACTGAAATCATATGGATAAAATATCCGAACATGTTGCTCGTTGTCAAAATAATTTTCTTATAGGCCATTTTTTTTCAGTGCTTGGTAAACTATTTTTTCATCAATAATGTTATCTTGTGTTGTCCGATTCTTGGTTTTATGCTCGGTTATAGTTGATTCTTGAATTTGATGTTCTGTGGTCTTTTAAGATTCATCAACGGTCGGCAGACAGGATCCTAAAATTATGCGATGCCAACAAAGGTTTCTATGTCAAAGCTGGCCAGTTTGTTGCAGCCATGCGCCAGGTTCCGAAGGAATACTCGTCCACTCTTTCATCTTTACAGGACCAGGTTTTTAATTCTGTCAATTTATTTGAAGTTGTTTTTACTTTGAGCAAACTCCTGTGGTGTATAATTTTTTTAACCGAACAATATGCTAATTTATTGTTGGCGGTGCCTTAGGCAGTTCCTTGCAATTTTGAAGCCGTCAAAGAAGTTATACTCAAGAGTCTGGGCAAGGATTTATCGGAGATGTAAGTTGTCACCATTAATTCACTTAACACACCAATTAAATTACTTGCTTGTCTATAACGAGATGGCAATTTTAGTGTTTGTACTCATAGAAACAGAAAGATGACTTATGTCAGAACTTATTTCTCGTATATATCTTCTTAATTTTGAATTCTTATCACTGTTTAAATTTTAAAGATATCATGCGAAGTAAATCTTGATTTGAGTATTTTAAAGACGTTTATGAATTTTCGTTATTTCATGAAAACATTCATTTCCGGTTATCAATTTCTGCTAAGAGATTGAGAATAATTGTTGACTTGTGGGTCCCTGATTCTCAGATTCCTCTCGTTTGATGAGCAACCAGTTGCTGCTGCTTCGATTGCTCAAGTACACCATGCCTTTTTGAAGGACAATCAGGAAGTCGCAGTCAAGGTTAATCACGGAACTATGCCTCTATAAAATTGAAGTCGTCATATATTGACAAATTAGTTTGCATATGCTGTCGTTTTTCAATATCTATGTTGGTTTGTTTAGGTTTACAGTTTAATCAGCATCAGTTTCTGTGGCTTCTTTCGTTGAGCTTGAAACTAACTTAGAACAAGATTTTATTTAATTGGTGGTCTTCGATCTTCGAATCCGGTGTTTGAAATGAGTTTAACTAAAAATTAAATGACATAATTGGCTCATCATAATTGACTGTATAAATATTATGTTTGCCTCTTTATATAGCTCGATTGTGTTTTTTTATCGAGATGAGAATATGTTCTTAATTAATATTGGACTCCCGACTACAGGTCCAGTATCCAGGACTGGAGTATCAAATGAAATTTGACCTTGAAACCATGGCTTTGCTCTCCAGATCAGTTGCATGGGTAAGATTTTCGTGTTTTGTAAACTAAAAATATCATAGGGCCTCCTCACATTTCTTTTTTCCTTCAAAACGAACAAATATGTAAATTATTCTACAGAAATATGTTTAGTCAATTCTCTAACAATCTGAAAAGTTGCTTCGATTTTCCAGCTTTTCCCTGGATACAGATTTGAGTGGCTCGTATCGGAATTTACGAAGACTATTGCTTCTGAACTTGGTAAGTGTCATGTGGTTATCCGTTTAACAAACTGTAAACATATAACATTTACTTGCTTTTGGGTTATTGATTGAAATGTAAACTGATTGTTCATTTCTTATATTAAATCGTTTCTCCGATGATTCGGTTTCGTAATTGGAACTAGGTCTTATCTATCTGCATTTGCTACTTCGTGGTATAAATTTTTTTTATGCATCTATATAGTTTCTATAATTTAACGATGTTTTCTTCACCTGCATTGTTCTTGGCGGAAGGAAAATAAACATGAAAGAAACCGTGTAGTTGCATTATGAATATCTGATTTTGCTTGGATCGTATTATTTCTTATTGCTCTATAGATTTCATTCAAGAGGCTAAAAACTCAGAAAGAGCAGCAAATAATTTTAAAAAGAACAAGATGATCAGGATCCCTCGTGTTTATTGGGTATGGATAGATCATCAGCTTTTAGAAGAAATAATTTGCAACTTTTTGTATTCTAAATATCAAGCTGACAATCTTCGCTTTATTTTATGTTTGAGCTCACTATCATGCCCATATTGCCAGGATTTGACGAGCAGGCAGGTTTTGACCATGCAATTTTGCGAAGGACATAAGGTAAAGAAACACCACATTTTACATAAAGCCGAAAACTGGTGAACTATGTTTATTCAACTTTTAACGGGAAAAATACACTTTTGGTCCCTTATGTTTACTCGAATTCACATTTGGTCCTCCTTGTTCAGAAAAAAAAACAGGTTTAGTCTCTCATGTTTCAAAAGTTTAATACTCTTAGTCATTCCTGTCAATTTTCCGTTAGTACTAACGGAATCAAGCATTTCTCCGTCACTGTCTTGACGGACTAATGGTAACGGAAAGGACCAAAAGTGTCAAATTGTTGAAACATGAACGACTAAATCTGTTTTTTTGTGAACAAGGGGATCAAATGCGAAATCAAAGTAAACTTGAAGGACGAAAAGTATATTTTTCCCACTTTTAACCATAGTTCATGATTATTGCAGACAAGTTTGTACATACATGTACATATAACGAGTTGAGGGTTTACTTACTTGCAAAGAATGTCGATAATATTTCTGATAAAACATTTTATCAAATTGAAATAGTGCTGTAAATTATTATCAAACACTAAAGGAACGAGTCGTGTGAAGGTTCAGTTGTTAATGAGAAGCAACCTCACTAACAATCTACAGTTGTGTATTGGACTCTGATCGAACTCCGTTTCTTTTTAATATTAGGAACTTCCTAAACAAACATATTAACTTTGCATGCTATAACTAAGTCTTCTGCTAACAGGAGCTTTCTTGGCTTTCAGGTTAATGACTTGAAGTTTATGAACCAAATGGGGATTAGTCCACTTGAGGTTTGTACTGGAACAATCGTAATTAGGGCGCCGCGACATTTAATTCAATTCTTTATGCGATTTCAGCTACATGGTACAGTTATTCGTATTTTCAATGTAGGTAGCAAAAGCACTAGTAGATGTGTTTGCTGAGATGATATTTGTCCACGGTTTCCTTCATGGAGATCCGCACCCTGGAAATATACTGGTTTCTTCGGAGAAAAATGGCGTTTCTCTAGGTACGTTTAGCAGTAAACTTGAATACTATAAAGTTTCTTTCAACAGGAGTATTATCCTATCGTATCTTATCTTTAGTTGAATAATTAAATATGACTTCTTATTCGCATTAACACGAACAAATGTAGTCATTCTGGATCATGGGATCTATAAACAGTTGTCTGAAGATTTCAGAAAGAACTATTGTCAACTGTGGGAGGCCTTAATTATACTGGATTCCGAAAAGATACAGCAGCTGGGAGAAAACTTTGGTGTTGGGAAATATGCTAGATACTTTCCCGTTATATTCACTGGAAGAACCATTAACAGGTGATTGTCTTTTGCTTTTCTATAAAGGGTAAATTATGGCCACCCCCTGAGGTAATGTCAAATTACGAAAAAAAAGGTCTCATGTTTGGGTAATTACAATCACCCACCTCAACTACGAAACTTCTTACACGTCCACCCTTGCGGTGTCAAATTTAGTGGAATCTTCTAGATTATGTGGAATATTCTCCAGTTTGTACCCGTTTTTCCTATTCAAGCTCCACATTTTGAAACATGATGATCATAATATGTGTGTCTTGGCTTGTAAATATCAGATTGTGCTGGATCAGAAATTACAATTTTGCACAAAACGAGTACAAACTAGAGAATATTCCACGGAATGTAGAAGATTCTGTTGAGTTTGACACCATAACGGTGGATGCATAAGAAGATTCATAGTTGAGGGTGTGGTTGTAATTGCCCAAACATGAGGGTTGTTTTTCCGTAATTTGACCGTACCTCAGGGGTGGCCGTAATTTACCTATTAAGTCGTCATCCTACTGTGTCATGACTCTAGACGCTGAAATTTCTAGTCTTAACTCTTAAATCATAAAATGTGATGAAATTTCATTAAACTGTGATTAAACATTTGAAGTTACTGGATATAAGTTCAATCCGAAATTTAATTATTTTAATTAAGTTAGTTCCATGACAACAGTTTTTGGAATAAATCGTTTTCTACTTAATGAACTACTATTGATCTCGATTTGTAATTCTTATTTTTGTTAAACACTTTGGCAACAAAAACAGGAACCCTTCTTATTTATGTCAGTTTTAGCCTTAAGTTTAGTACGTAGGCATCGCATATGTCGGTTTATGTTTTAGGGTTAGCACGTAAGCATCATATCTATTCCATTTTTCTTGCGGAACTAATATTAATTGTATCTGAAACAAAAGTAAGTCTTTGCTCGGGAGAGGAATGTCGTCTGAAGAGAAAAAACATCTCAAGGAGGAACTCAAGTCTATAAAAATGGAGGACATATCTTCCTTCATGGAGTCATTGCCCCCCGACTTTCTTACCATACTACGAACCGAGTAAGTATTAATTCCATTTCTCTTAACTCTTTATTCAAACAAATCTGAGAATCTTTAAAATATTTTCTTGATATTTTATATCCCATCAGTGGGCTATTACGGTCTTTAATCAGCAAGTTGGATGCTCCTCAACGAATCCGACTACTAAGTTATGCCAAATTTGCTTTGCGCGGTCTGTCTGCAGAGGCAAATTCTGAATCAGGTAACTATTTCACAGTATTAAATATGGTGTGATCAAATAGTGCAAAACAAATGTGACACATTCCTTCAATTGAATTATCTTTTAATCAAATATGCAAACCCTACGTGCTACCAAGCTTTAATGTTATTAATCCTTTTAAATATTTATTGTTATTATATTTAATTACTTGTTTTTAGGTGGAGGGTACTTTTAAATAGTCTTTCAAACATCGGAACATAAATAAACGATCCAAAAGTGGAATTTAAATACTTTTTTCTTCGACATTAAATAGACAATATCCGAATCTTTTGCATGAGTTTGTTTAGAAACTTCTTAAAACTCCCTAGTCATTACGGTTTAAACGTTAGTATATGGTTCTACGCGCGTGACTTACTGTGAATTTTTGAACTTTCAGATTCAGCGGTACTTCTTGTGTCCAGAGTTAAGATAAGCATCAAATACATTCGTTTGAGGTTACTTCTGGGTAAGGAAGTTTTTGCATCAATGTGCTTTGATTGTAAATTTGTAATATGCTTGTTGTTGGGAACAAAATGAATATTAACGTGCAGTTTTAATTTTCGTCGACAGAAATTATGGATTTTGTTGCATACGTGGATGAAGTAAGACGCTCGTTGGCTTCAAAGTTGAGACGAGTCACAACTCATTTGATCAGCTGGTGATCACAAATGGAGAGTACACCAATGTTTCGCATCAACCGTTTAAATCTGGCTGACATATATTCATTTTGCTATTATTTGTGAGAAAATTTTATAGGTTCAACAATGTCTTTCACTCTTTAGAAGAGTTGCTACAGCCTACATGGTCCATGAAAAGAAAAGGCATTGATTGTTTTATATATATATATAAAGGTATATAGTATGGTAAGTTTTAAATCCATATATTCATTTTCCATAAAAAAAAAACAAATTAAAAAAAAAACAATTTCTATATAGGGCATATTACAAATAAGCCCATCAATGGGTACTTATTCATAAAGAGATCCAGACAAAAATCTCATTTACCAATAAGTCCACACATGCTCCAGATTTTTGTAAAGGACTAAAATAACCTCTCATACTTTAATATGCTCTAATTTCATCCTTAACTTAATTTAACTTCAATTTGACCCCAAATTTCACAAATTATTCAATTTTGACCCAAAACTTTTTTTTTCAAAAAAAAAAAATTTCAAAAACTTTTTTTTTTCCCGCCGGATTCCGGCGTTGACTGGCGGTCAACGCCGGTCTCCGGCGTTGACTTTTCAACTTTTTTTTTTCTTTCTTTCTTCCGGATTTTTTCGCCGGATTCCTGCGGTGACTTTTTTTAATTTTTTTTTTCTTCTTTTCTTTTTTTTTTGTAACATTTTTTTTCCGTTTAAACAGCAATATTGCTGTGATTGACAGTAATATTAACTATATTACTGTTAAACACGGTAAAATTAACTAAACTATAGTTTAACATAGTAATATTGCTATATTAATCTCTAGCACATTAATATTAACACAACAAAACTCCTAATTATTGTGTAATAAAATAATATTACTATGTTGACCGTTCAACAAATGTAAACTTAATAAAAAAAACCAAAAGAATTAATATTATTGTGAGTGACAATAATATTACTATAGCAACAATAATATTACCGCCAACCACAGTAATATTACAATAACAGACAGTAATATTATTACGTTACTCCGTGAATAACTCAAACAAACAAAAAATCCAAACAAAATAATAATATTGATGTGGTTGACAGCAATATTACTATGACAACAGTAATATTACCGTCAACCACAGTAATATTATTGTGTTTACAGTAATATTACAATAATAGACAGTAATATTATTACGTTACTGCGTGAATAACTCAAATAAAACAAAAACCCCAAAAAAATAATAATATTGATGTTGTTGACGGTAATATTATTGTGTTTACAGCTATTTTACTGTCAACGACAGTAATATAATTACGTTGACTTGTCAACAAATCAAACAAAATAAAAAAAAACAATAAAAAATAAAAAATAATAATATTACATTAATTTACTGTCAACGGCAATACAATTACGTCAATTAACTATCATTGACAGTATAATTACGTTAATTTACTGTCAGTGACAGCACAATTACGGTCAACGTTTAGCGGCGGACGTGGAAAAACAAAACAAACCAAACAAAAAAAAAAACTTAAAAAAACACTAAAAAAAATCAACGCCGGAAACCGGCGAAAAAATCTGGAAGAAAAGAAAAAAAAAAGTCAACGCCGTAGACCGGCGAAAAAATCCGGAAGAAAGAAAAAAAAAGTTGAAAAGTCAACGCCGGAATCTGGCGGCAAAAAACAAATTGAATTTTTTTTTTTTGAAAAAAAAAAGTTTTGGGTCAAAATTGAGTAATTTGTGAAATTTGGGGTCAAATTGAGATTAAATTAAGTTAAGAATGAAATTGGAGCATATTAAATTATGCGCCAAAAAAAGTCAAAATTGAATTTTTGTGGTCAAAATTGGATTTTTGTGGACAAAATTGATAAATTGGGGTTGCAATTAAGAATTGGGTATAAATGGTTGAGGGTAATATTGAGATATACATGAATGTTTCCTTTAGTTATCATAAATATTAAAGAGATGAGGTTATTGGTGAAGGAGATATGTCCCATAAACCTAGAATAATAAACATGCTTGGTTGGGGACTTTTGCATAAAAACCCTTCTATATATTCATTGAAGTACAGTACGAATATGGAAAGTCACATGTATATGATGAGGTCCAATCATTGGTAAAATTTTGTAAGGGTGTTAATAATTCTAATAATATTAATAAAATAATTATTTTTCGAAAAACAAAACAGTTTAAATACAAAACACCCCTGTACTATGAACTTTGTATCATATACCCTCTATAGTACACATAATTACAAAAAACCCCCTCACATTACATTTGTTTTCAAAATATGACAAAAATACCCCTACTCAAGCATATATATATACTTGAGTTATTTTCCACTATATATTTTACCATTTTCAGTTAATTTTACGTGGGAAATTTTTTGGTATTTAGCTGATTTTTTTCTCCAAAACATCTAATTGCTTATATTTTTTTTATTTTCTAAGTAAAACCTTTTATTTTTGTCATTTTGAGTTTCTTCATGTTTTTTTTCTTAAATGTCTTACGGTAGTTCTAACATCCTAAGATTACAAACATCTTTACAACCCTATTATTGTTGAGGATTTGAACTACCGAAAGACATTTAGGAAATGAAGAAATTCAAAATGATAAAAATAAAAGGTTTTATTTAGAAAAAAAAAAATCGAAGTAATTAAATGTTTTGAAGAAAAAAAATATCAAAATTTCTCAAGTAAAAGGTATCGAAAATATTAAAAAAAAATAGTGAAAAATGGCTCGAACAAACCCTTATATTCATAGGCTTAGCAGGGGTATTTTCGTCATATTTTGAAAAAAATATAACATCAGGGGTTTTTTGTATTTATTTGTAGTACAGTGTGATATATGATACAAAATCCATAGTACAAAGGTGTTTTTATATTTAGCCCAAAAAAAATGATATCCATCTTCCAACAGTATTCAAAAGGATTAATATGTTAAGGGTCCGATCAAACCAAACATAATTAGAATTAGATGACAATTGCAACTAAACATTTTAAATAAATTCATGGTTGCGGCTATATGCAGTAGTAATTTCACTTGTGCAAGACCAAATTAAAGAAAGATTCCCAAAAGATTCTATTTTATTAAGATGAAATGACAAATATACCCATAAATTAAATTGGTTTTTGTTTGCTCATGCAAGACCAAATAACAAATAATGAAAAAAAAAAACAAAGAAAACGTGAAATTAAAAAAACCCAGCCCCCCTCCCCTGTGAAACCCTACCCTACGCCAAAGCTCTGCCGCCCAATCTCCGTCGCCCAAGCTCCGTCGCCGACCGCCGCTCTTGATGCGACGATCTTGATGTCTTGTACATATTTCTGAAACCTTAGATGAATTTGGAAAATAAACTTCGTCTTCGCATTCGCCTTTAGCTATAAAAAATAAATGAATATTGAAATAAAAAGTAATTGAAAAATAGAAAGTTCAAAAAAATATGAAACAACTAAATTTCGACATTAATGTGTCGAATATATGTCCATAAATTCGACACCTTAATGTCGAAATTTTGAATATTTGGACTAATTTGCTAACAGTTAAATTTCGACACTAAGGTGTCGATTTGTACTCCAAAATCGACATCTCAATGTCGATTTTTACCTATAAAATTCGACATGTACATGTCGACTGCGTCTGCGCGGGATTTATTTTTTGGAAAAATGATATTCTAGCTAAAAAACACATAAATGCATACATTTTTGGGTTCTTCCACCGTAGAATCTTCTTTCTTGATGTCTTCTGACTCCATACTTGCCATCTTTTTAAGATTTGTTGAGTTTTGAAGATTTTGAATGTTTATGTTTTGTGGGTTTATGGAGGAGGAAAGAGAAAGGTTTTGTGAGTTTTTGAAGATGGAGAATGAAAGAATTTATGGTCCCGAATTCGTTTAATACAGAGATGTTATCTTAAGTGTTATGACACTTGAGAAAACATGCAGCGGAAATATAAAGATATAAAGACAATACTCAGATCTAAAAATGTTCACAAGTAAAACTTGTGAACTTGCCCTTTACAGGACGGAAAAATTATATTCAAACAGTATTACAAGAATACAAACAGAAGATGTACGAAAACTTCTTCCTTATGAATGAATCGTTAACATGATCATTCTTACATTCAAATCTAGAAACAAAAAGATAAATACTAAAAATTCTAGATTTCAAATAATGTACTCGTGAGGAGTACGTACAACAGATTCTAGAAACACTCTAAAAATCTCATGAATAATCTTCAACACTCGGTTTTTGTTTCTTAGGAAATCTGTAACTTTCTTGAGTCTTGAGTTTGGTATTTATAGACTTTCCAAGCTTCCACTCCTCAGCCCATGATCTGCAAGAAAACCAACTACAAGAGCACTCAAGAAAATGGGTTAGTGGGTTAGTTAAGTAGTTAGAATAATATCCACAATTTAACCCAATAAGCACTACTTAGCCCACTAAGCATTATACTTAGTCCACTAAGCCATAACTAAAATTTAGTTTCAAAGTAAGAGAGTTAAAAACACTTTGTGGAAATCCACGTGTTTCAGAGAAGATGAGAGTTGGTCTTGTGATTTTGTGATAGGATTTTTGTGTTTTTGAGTTTTTGTATTGCACATTTGGAATATTATAATTTTTTTAACAAGTAAGAGTATTATAGTATTTATACATTGAAAATTTTAATTTGATCTTGCACAAGTGGAATTAGTCTTGCATATAACCGCAGCCTAAATTCATATCTTAAGACATAACATACGATTCATATCTTTGATTTTTTTATCTATGACTTGCCCTTACGCCTTGGACATAACATCTATATTCATGTTTCTCTAACTCAAATCAAATTTTTATTTCTCTCGCTCTCTCGATCTCCATGTCTCTCTCCTACCCATTCTTAATCTGGTGGTTATGGCGGTAGTGAAGGAGGTGACGCTCGCAGTTATAATGGGGGTGACCATGGTGGGTGGCGGCGGCTATGGTTATGGTGGGTGGTGGAGACTATGGTTGTGGTGGGTGCTGGTTGCAAAACATACACACAAATGCACGTACCGAACAAGTGATATAGTGCACTATTAAATCGAAGTATCGATCCAACGAAAAATACATAACCGTCATATCATAAGCACAAAGTTCTCACAATTATGTTCAAGGTCAGCCTACACAGTCGAATTTTGAGTTGATTTAACTACAGTGTAACTTAAAATAAACTAATAAAT